GAGCCTCGTACATACAACAGCTAATCTCTAACAACCCTCTCACCTTCAAACAACCTCGTTAGTGGCGCCCTTAATGTGCGTATCATATGTGAAAATGCATTATAAATTATTACGTGGATGAGGATAACAAATTAATAAGTTTGTGGCGAAACGGAACCTGTGATCCGGGAAATATATTAATTTTTCCAAAGTAATTGAATTGGTTTATACAAAATTTGAGCTAGAAAAAAAAACTGTGAAAAAAAAATTGGTTTATATGGATTTAGGATAATCTAATGTATACGGATGGTGGATAAAGAACTGGTTTATGTGGATTTTGGATACAAAAATTAATTATATGAACTATCCAACAATCCCACGACTATTACCCGACTATTTATATCATAAAACAAACACCGTATATGCAAGCCAGTAATTACCCAGGTCTTGCCCGAATCTAAACTGACCCAGTTAATGTCCATTGTCTCATGTTGAATTTTGTGATGAAGTAGTTTAAACTCATCATCATACAGTGACAGTGTTATTATAGTGAGCTGATGATACATCACTGTGTGGAGAGTGACAGCGTGAATGACACCCATCCACTGTGGAGAGTTGACAGCAATGGTCTGATGTATTGATATAATACTTCTCACTCTATCGACAGTAAGACCTTGTGTAGGGACAATACCTCTCCTCTGTGGGAAGTGCCCACCATTGGTCTAATACATTCGTCCACCGCTCTTTCTGTGGATTAATATATAAATCAACACACACACACTTCCTCTGTTAATTATACTTACATCCATAAATGAAGCACGAGCAAGTCTTCAGAATTCTGATTCAGAGAAAACATTTTTTTCTTGTCCCTGTACAGAGTAGTGAAGATATTATATTTAATACTGTTAACTTTCATAGTTTCCCTGTATCAGTAGATGCCTCTAAATATTCTTTAATTATTATAGAGTATTCGTTAACCTTGAAATGAATTACTAAATAACAGTGCTGCAAATTTAATTATATATTTTAATAGAGAGGACATTGGTATTTTATATTTATAATTATTTTAGTAGAGGAAAGAGGAGAACTTGTTAGTGAAGAGATTTGAGAGGATTCCTTCACACATGTGAGGAAATGTGTGAGTTTGCAACATGACGTGTTTGTGTAGTTCTCTATCTGTAGAGAGAACAAGTTCAAAGCGTTCCTGGAGCTGGAGCAAGGTCAGGAAACAGTTCCTGTCATTTCCTGGTTCGCAGCAGCAAGGTCACAAAGTGTCGAAACATTTTGGGCAATAGGAAATGTGTGAGGAAGAAGCGAATGATTTCTTGATTATATATTTTGGTGATTGAGTTCATATTAGGGGGAAAGTTGTCAAGTCATTTTAAGTGTTTGAAAATTTTATAAAGTGTGGGTTTGTATTTACTATTTGTTCCTGCAGGATCGAGCTCTTAGCTCTTGGACCTCGCCTTTCTAACCAGTCTATTTTCCTCTATTATGTCTACTACATATATTTATCTAACACACACACACACACACACACACACACACACACACACACACACACACACACACACACACACACACACACACAAACCGCTGGTTTCATTCAGAAACCTAAGTGAAGAGGCATTTAGGGAGCTTTACACTGCCTATGTGAGACCAGTCTTAGAGTATGACGCGCCATCATGGAGCCCCCACCTGAAGAAACACATAGGAAACTGGAAAAGGTTCAGAAGTTTGCGACGAGGTTCGTCCCAGAGTTACGAGGGATGGGGTATGAAGAGCGCCCGAAGGAACTGAACCATACGACACTAGAAAAAAGAAGGGAGAGAGAGGATATGATAGGGACATATAAAATATTCAGGGAAATTGACAAACTAGAAATAGATGAAATGTTCACACGTAATAGTAACAGAACGAGGGGACATGGGTGGAAACTGGAAACTCAGATGAGTCACAGAGATGTTAGGAAGTTTTCTTTTAGCGTGAGAGTAGTGGAAAAATGGAATGTTCTTAAGGAACAGGTTGTGGAAGCAAACTGTATTCATATTTTTAAAACTAGATATGATAGGGAAATGGGACAGGAGTCATTGCTGTAAACAACCGATGGCTGGAAAGGCGGGATCTAAGAGTCAATGCTCGATCCTGAAAGCACAAATAGGTGAGCACACACACGCACACGCACACACACACACACACACACACACTGATGCATCCGCAGGAAGCAACCCATAGCAGCCGTATAACTCCCAGGTATCTGTTTACTGATAGGTGAACAGCAGCATCAGGTTGAAAGAAACTCTGCCCGTTTGTTTCTGTCTCGGCCGGTAATCGAACCCGGTGCTTAATTAAGACTACGACCCCCGAACGCCGTCCACTCAGCCGAGAGGCCCCCATCTGTATGTGTGGGTGTACTCACCTAGTTGTGCTTGCGGGGGTTGAGCTTTGGCTCTTTGGTCCCGCCTCTCAACTGTCAATCAACTGGTGTACAGGTTACTGAGCCTATTGGGCTCTATCATATCTACACTTGAAACTGTGTATGGAGTCAGCCTCCACCACATCACTTCCTAATGCATTCCATTTATCAACCACTCTGACACTAAAAAAGCTCTTTCTAATATCCCTGTGGCTCATTTAGGCGCTCAGTTTCCACCTGTGTCCCCTAGTGCGTGTGCCCCTTGTGTTAAATAGCCTGTCTTTATCTACCCTATCAATTCAATGTGTAATCACCTAAGTGTAATTACCTAAGTGTAGTTACAGTATGAGAGTTACGCTCGTGGTGTCCCGTCTACCCAGCACTCTTTAAAAAAGGAAGAAATGGTAAGCTCGTGGCTCGACCTAGAGACAGTAAGGACTCCGGCGGTTGTTCCCACAACTTGGCCATGACTCTTCCTGAAAATATAAAGGAAGAATACTTCTCATAATCAATGGATCGAGCTGCCGATTGTCTAGCTACCTGCTGCAGTTCCCAACCTATACCTATACACACCCCAGACCCCAACCTATACCTATACACACCCCAGACCCCAACCTATACCTATACACACCCCAGACCCCAATCTGTACTCACCTAGTTGTGTTTGCGGGGGTTGAGCTCTGGCTCTTTGGTCCCGCCTCTCAACCGGCAATCAACAAAAATGTGGAACGCTTCACGATTTTGCGTGTCATCCTTGCGCAGGGGCCATGCTAATTTTCTCTGTATCGTTCCAATTTTAGTATATGTACTGCCGAAGCGAGTACAAGGTGTGTGTGTGTGTGTGTGTATTCACCTAGTTGTGTTTTGCGGGGGTTGAGCTTTGCTCTTTCGGCCCGCCTCTCAACTGTTTACTAACTACTTTTTTCCCCACACCACACACACACACACCAGGAAGCAGCCTGTGACAACTGACTAACTCCCAGGTACCTATTTACTGCAAGGTAACAGGGGCATTCAGGGTGAAAGAAACTTTGCCCATTTGTTTCTGCCTGGTGCGGGAATCGAACCCGCGCCACAGAATTACGAGTCCTGCGCGCTATCCACCAGGCTACCAGGCCCACTGTAAGTGTGTGTGTGTGTGTGTGTTTCACTGAAAATG